CTCTTATGGGCTATGTCATTCTTGAGAGAGAGACAAATTATTTTGGTTCATTTCCAGACAGGTTGTTCGGACCTTATGAGCATGTATGAATCTCTAAAAGATTGGTCGTCCTTTATGACAGAGCTGAAATTCTTTTGTATCCTTCAAGAGAGCTTCTTAGAATTCACCTTAACTCATAGCCCCATAAGTCTAAATGTCTGAGCGGATAGTTTTGCAAAAGAAGCTCGAAAAAGGAGTTATTTTTTCCCAAATCAATCATACCGAGCCGGTCGAGGATGGTCTCTGGACCATTTCTCTGATTAGCCACATGTGATATAATAGTTGGATAGAGAAAAAATATTAATTTAATTTCCTTAATCTAAAAGTTACTTTTATTTTTTTTTTGTTTTTTTAATTTCAAGATTAATTTTAAATTATATATTTTTTTAATTGTTAATATTATGTGTCAAAAAAATCTGTACACATGTCAAAATTTGATCGATTGACTTAACATATGTCACAATCTGGCAAGTTAACAACTTTGAATCATCTATACTATTATTTGTGAGGTTAAAAATCTGATGTGTCATCACCACAGCGATTGTCCTACGTGTCATTAATAACAAAAATTATGTGTTGTTTTAATTAATTTTGATAGGTCTAACATTAATCTTATGTGTAAATACCTATGACATGGCTTTTTTCCTTAATTATGGGTCCGCGATTTTGTTAATGGGCCACCGATCTTGAAGTTCGTCCTACTCACCGATTTATGGGTCACCGATGTAGAAGTTGGTACAAACCTAAAGCCTAGCATATCCATCGTACTATATATGTACCTATATAACGTTCATCTACTAAGTTTAAGCATTTCTTTTAAAAAAAATTGTTCAGCTCTTTTTTTTTTAAAAAAAGGGTCATAGCAATTTGAAAAAAAAAACGCCGGCCTCTTTAAAAAAACGATCATAGCATTTTTTTTATAATAAAAAACATCAATCTCTACTATTATTTATGCCTATTCTTAATAAACCTACTATTTTTTGTATAATTGATACTTCACAGGTTCTGTAATTCATCTCTCGCCTTACAATGGAATCATCAAGTAAATATAAATTTATGTTTTTATTTTAGTTCGTGTTTTAAATATTTTTTCAGATTCTAGAAGTTTTTTTTAATTGTAAATCTATTGTCTAATAGTTTTTTGCTTTAAAACTTTTATGAACTTTCTGTAGCACCTAGCAATTGTCCCTTTCATGATCCTCAGATTTTTATATATCATCTGCCTATCAAGAAGCCAGATCGTATCTGTATTCTGAATTGCTGACACGTTGGGTTTAAGATTGTAAAAAATGGTCATGGCATCCCCGTCTCTGCGACATCTCCACACCGAGTATTACATCCAATTATAAATGTAACGCTGGTGAATCTTACCGCTTAAGGGTTTTATTGCACGTTGTTCGCAGTCCATGTTCTTATATTGATATAAGAATAATTAAATGGTGTTGTCCACCCTACTTTCAAAGATGCATGTTATGTTTTAGGTTTAACTCACAATGATACCAAGTATGTCGAATATTTCTATAAGGCAACTCAATTGGGTTCCCGCTGCTCTCTTCAAATGAGGTTCACTGCTTTGTTACGTGCAAGTGCTATGATGGATCCCTTTCGTGTATGGAGATCTATTCAATGTTTTTTAGTATAAGTTTTGTCAATTATTTGCATTGTCTTTGATTTTCTTTTCTTTAATTATATTATTTTAACAATTTCTTAGATTTTTTGTTCAGTTCTGCCCGGTTTCGGTTGAGAGGCTTATTATTTGAGACTTTTGTTGGACGTTGTTATGGATTTTTATTGGAAGTTGTTAGTCTTGGTGCTCACGCTTATATATATAGATGATATCCAGTAGCTAAGGATTTGTACTTAGTGGTTCGTTTGTTTGGTTGGTAATTTTTTGTTTGGGTTTTTGAATTTGGTTTTGTATCTTTTGTTGGTCGATTATATTGATATTTGGTGTGTGTTGGTTATATATTTTGTGGTTCAATGATTACACTATCATATATATAGTTCTAGTGTGATTTTTTAGTCAAGATTCTCTTTTTATTTGTATTTTTATGATAGTTTATTTTTTCAAAAATATCATATATTTATTCATTAGTTTTTATGGTGTTTATGATTTCTAATATGTCTATAGTTTTGTTAGAAATGATTGTCATTGTTTACCTAAACTCTGAAAATTATTATTTATTATATAATATATGCATATGTTATGATCAAAGTAAACAATGTATATCCTGGGGTTGTTTAACTATGCTCTAAAAATTAGTATTTATTATGTAATATAATAAGAAGATGAAGTCGGGGGGTACGAAGATGATGAAAATATAGAAGACAAAGTAGAAGAAAAAAATAGAAAAAGAAGAAGTATAAGAAGAGGAGAAAAAAAGATCAATCAAAATATAAAGAAGAAGATATCCTTGATGATAAGAACTAAAGTAAAAAACGGACATAAATTTGAATAAAACCATGAAGAATAAGAAGAAGATGAGAACACGAAATAGTGAAAAAGAATAGTGATAAGAAAAAATGAAGTTCGAGTTGAAGAAGAAAACCAGAAGAAGAAAAAATGAAAGATGAAGAAACAAAGTAAAAGAAGAAGAAATGGGAAGATGAAATAGGTGAAGATGAAAAAAAACCAGAAGAAGATAAGTTTGACGAAGACCAAAGAGGAATAAGAAGTAAAGAATAAAGAAGGCTAATTAAAATCAAAAAAGAAGAAGAAGAAGAAGAAGAACTGAGAGAATACAAAGATGAGAAGAAGAAGTCAAAAAAAATGATGAAGATGAGGGAAAAAAGTGAGGTATAAATATATTAAAAGATATATAAGAGGAAGAAGAAAGAAAAGTCAAAGTCAAAGACGAAGAATAAGAAGAATGAATATATGAAGAAGAAGAAGAAGATGAAGAATTTGGGACAGAAAAAGAAAACAAAGACCTTTAAATTAGAGAATGAAGAAGAAGACGAATAAAAACCAAAGATAAAAAAAAAGAATAAGATATATACAAAGAAAAACTAAACCAAAAGATAAAGAGTAGAAAGAAGAGTATAACAAAATAGAAGAGCAAGAAGAAGGAGACAAAACTGAAGAGGGAATTGAAATAGAAGTTGAAGACGATGAAGAAGAGGAAAGAAAATGTAAAGAATATGAAAATTGAAGTCAATAATAAAGAAGAAGGAAAAGACAAAGAAGAAGACCGAAGAAAAGAAAAATAAAAACCATAATAAGAAAAATTATAACAATATAAAAACGTTGAAAAATAAGAATGGGAAGAGGATGAGGATGATGAATTTGGAGAGATAGAGAGAGAGATAGAGATTGAGTTAATGTTTATAGGGACATACAGATGGAGAAAGAGAGACATTGAGTGAGAGAAATAGAGAGAGAGAGAGTAAGAGAAAGAGGAAAGAGAGAGTTAAACAATCTAAGTACATGACATTTAATCTATGTTAGTTCGTCTTTTATGTGTTCCTATTTTTTTATATCTGAAACACTTTTTACTTAAAATGTAGTTGTCTAAATCGTATGATATATACAACTTAGAACGATGGAGGAATGGAGAGAGTGAGAGAGAAATACTGAAATAGAAGAAGGGAGAGAGAGAGAATGATAGGGAGGGACACATGGAGGGGGAGAGAGAGAGTTAAAGTTTCTAAGTACATGTATTTGATTGATATAAAAGACGAAGAAAAACAAGAAAAATATGAAATCAGAGAGAACAAAGAAGATGAAGGCGATGAAGAAGTAGAAGAGGAAGAAGAATAAGATGAGGATAAGATGTGGAAACTACAAAGAAGAAGAAGAAAACGTGATAAAAAAAAATCTAAAGAATAAGAAGTAAGAAAAGACATATAGAATGAAGAATAAATATAAAAAAAATGAAAGGAAACTAAAAATATTTGAGAGAAGAACGAGGGTTAAACTTGGAAGACTATGAAGAAAGATAAGAAAAAGACGATAAAGAAGAAAAATCAAAAAATAAATATAAGGAAAAAAAGAAAATGCTGAAAAGCGATTATGTGGAGATGAAGAACTCGCTTTTTTCTTAGTTCAATCGGTTTTGTGAATTTCATACACTTATTTGGTAAGCATTTAAGTCTTTAATTTTGGATAGTGTTTATGTTTTGGATTTGTTTTGTTTTTATCATGTATGTTATGAATAGTTATTATAATTCTCTTAAAGACCAGTTTATAACATCAAATTATGTTGTACGTTTTCAAACATATCATTATCCAACTATCAAACTTTATGGAATTATTAAAGATACATATCACAATACCATTATCTAACTATCAAAGTTTTTCATCATTATAAATAAAATTACATAAATAATTCATGATAATTAGCATTTTTTTTATAATAAGAGAATATTAAAACATATCATTTTAAAAGATTATATATAACTTACAAATCTCTAAAATTTTGTAATCAGCTTTGTATACATCACAAATCCGCGTTTGGCGCGGATCCCAACCTAGTTTTTCTTTATATAATAAGATGCTATTATAAAAATATAATTTCTGGTCAAAATTTTAAATGAAATCTACATTCTTAAATTAAATTTACTCTATATTTACGTAAATCCAAAATAATCTAAATTTTAGAATTAAATTTATATACAAAATTTTTCTAATAGTTTGAATTTTAAATTACATTAAAATTTTTATATGAATTTTAAATTAAATCTAACTTATATTTTTTTAAAATTAGGATGTTTGGAAATAGAATAAAAATGCTTCCTTTAACAATTAACCTGGTTTGATGCGGTTTAATGGGTCATTGTTTCCGATTTTTAGGGGTCGAATCCGGTTTTTTAACCGGTGCAATTACTTTTGGTTTTACTTTTAAGGTCAATTCAACCCGGATAAACTTTCGGTTCGCGGTTCAACCCGGTCGGACCGCCGGTGCGGACTCAAAAAAACATGACCCAACCGCGATTGGACCGAGCAACTTCATACCTCGGGGCCAGGTTAAAGGCTCATGTGGCCCATCCCCTTATCGCTCCAACCTCCGCTTGCCGGGACAAACGAAACTCTGCTCTGAGCTTTTGCCATAGAAATCAGATACCAACAGCTCAAAGATCTACAGGTTCGTATTTGTTCATTGAAATACAAAGTCGAAAGCTATGCCCATAGATTAGTTTTTGAGCTTTGGGTTTTATCTAACTTACACCAATCATAATTTTTTTTTCGTCTTATAAAGAGACGGCGCGTGATAATGTCGTCTGGCATGAAAATCATAGAAGAGCAGCAGAAACCGATTGAGAAGCTGCAGATTTATCCAACATCTAATTCTGGTGTTTCCCCTTTTTGGCGAGGTTCCCAGTGTTTACATCTTTAGCTGATATGATTGTGTAATGTATTCGGAGAGATTTTTTCGCAAAATGTTCCTTATATTCAACTGTTTCATATCTCACAGAGAAGTATGAAAGAGATGCTAAAAAGTATTGGGATATATTTTATAAGCATCATGGAGACAGAGTAAGCCTTTTGTATTAATCAGTTAACCTCTTTCTCATTTCAAATGTAACTTTAGCTAAGATAGCTAATACTGATTGTACAAGAGTAGCATAGTTTGGATTCACTTGTGATTTTGGTATGGACCCTTCTAATACTTGTTAAAAACCCTCTCTTTGATGATATGCTCATACATTATCTAAGTAGAGCTATTTAGTTTTAGTTTAATTGAGCTTAATAGTTATTCTTGATTCATATAAGTGTAACATAGGTTGGATTCACTTGTGATTTTGGTAGCTTAAGATGTAAATTACCCTTTTACTACATTTTGAAAACCTTTCTTTTATGATTTGCTCATACGTTATCTGAGTAGAGCTATTTAATTTCAGTTAGATGAGCTTAATACTTTCTATTGAAACATATAATTTCAACATAGGCTGGATTAACTTGTGATTTTGCTCGATTAAGAAGTAAAGAACCCTTCAAATATTTGTTAAAACCCACTCTTTGATGATATGCTCATACATTATCTAAGTGGGGCTATTGAATTTGAGTTTATTTGAGCTTAATAGTTAATATTGATTCATATAAGCTTAACATAGGCTCGGTCACTTGTGATTTGGTAGCTTAAGATGTAAATGACCCTTTAAAAACATGTTAAAAACCCTCTCCCTGATGATATCCTCATGCATTATCTAAATTAACTATGTTTCCTTTTATTCATTTGCCATGAATATGTGGTTAGGGTGATTGATGGGGTTTGAGGACCATGTCAGTTAGTGATACAGAATATTAACTGGAGCTATTTTATTTTGAGTTTGTTAACTCAGGATAAAAAAAATTATGTGAGTCTTGAGCGGATCTTGTGTAAAGTTTCTGAAAAGGGGGGTGAGAGGGACTCCGTTTTCAACTGCCTCAGCTCTTGATTCCAGTTTGTTCTTATGAGCAATATTATCTAATTTGTTTCCTAGTTCCTGATATATAGTTATTTCACAAAGTCTCATTTGTTGCTTTGTGAAAAGTGATATTGCTGTACTTTATATGATATTCTCTTGTTTTTCATCAGTTTTTCAAAGACCGGCACTATTTGGACAAGGAATGGAATAGCTATTTTTCCGTGAGTATTAAAACCGTTTTTTCTGGTATCTACTGCATTACCTTATTCTAGTATTTATCCTGAGTTTGTCTTATTCTCTTTTCAGGCTAGTGGAAAAAAGGTCATTCTTGAGGTAATCACAAATGCTCAAGCAGTTCCTCGTCTAAATTCTAAGTATTTTGTTGTTCACTAGATGAGTACTTTCTGTAGAATATTCTTCTGAGCAATTGTCTTGATTTGCAGGTTGGCTGTGGAGCTGGAAACACCATCTTTCCGTTGATTGCCACATATCCACACATTTTCGTTTATGCGTGTGATTTTTCACCACGCGCCATTGACTTGGTCAAGGTCGGTCTTCATTCTTCGTTAATTTTTGCTTTTCTTTGGTTGATTTGTCTTTGATTGTGAGGTCCATTTATTAAGCTCTATGATGTAAGCTTTTGTTTCTTAAATATAATTGGTAAACGTATGTATACTGCATATTAACTGGCTATATTATAGTAGTAGTCTTTGTGTCTCTTAAGCATATTTTAACAGGTCTACCTTAAGTTATGCCTGTCAGTAGTTATTCACAATTGTTTTGTTATTGGCATCTGTTGAACTTAAACGGAGTTTGTTATAACTTGCAATGAAATTCAGGCTCATGATGAATACACAGAGACGCGTGTGTGTGCATTTGCTTGTGACTTGACTGGGGATGGTCTTGACAAGCATATATCTCCATCTTCAGTTGATATTGTGACCATGGTATTTTCCGAACAAAAGTATATGGTTGTGTTAACTAGCTAGAAGTTAATGATTTGCCTTCTCTTTTGCTTAAAAAAATCCCTTTAATTGCTCTCCTGATTGTTGATTCTCTTTGAGTATATCATGTTTGAGACTTTTCATTTCTCATGTTTGAGTATACTTGTTGAACAGATATTTGTTTTATCTGCTGTATCTCCGGAGAAGATGCCCTTAGTATTGGAGAACATTAGGAAAGTACTGAAGGTATCGACCACATCCTTTCTAATGTACTTTTGAGTATCCATCTTCCTTCAAGTCTGAATTTCTTATGTCGAGTTACTTTCTTATTATTCTGTTTTCAGCCAAATGGGTGTATACTTTTCCGAGACTATGCTGTCGGTGATCTTGCTCAGGTTTGATCTACTTTTTATTACTTCCAATGTTGAGTTATCGCTTGTCTGTTTTTCCATGGTGGTGTATTAATACATCTGAGGTCATATGAATACCTATTTTGATGCACTTGAAATGAGCCTCTGAACTTAGAGTTTTAATTGCAAGGAAAAAGACCTCTACTACTGTTTCATTAGTTTAGAAAAATAAAAAGTTGTAATCTGGCTTGCCTTTTTGGAAGAACAATCTGTCTTTACGAAGGGATGGTTACCGATTATGTGTGATTGGTATGTGTTTAACAGGAAAGGTTTTCTGGGAAGGATCAGAAGATCAGCGAGAACTTTTATGTCAGAGGTGATGGCACTGTAAGTTCCTTCTTTCTTCATCTTTTCCAAGGCTATTTCTTTAGAGGACACATTTCTAGTTTTGGTTGAACCTTGATGATTTTATCTTTTTATGCAGCGTGCATTCTACTTTTCAAATGAATTCCTAGAATTTTTGCTTTCTGAACAAGGTTTTGAAGTTGAGGAGCTTGGTGTTTGCTGCAAACAAGTTGAGAATCGTTCACGCGAACTGGTCATGAATCGTCGCTGGGTCCAAGCTACATTTCGTCGATCAAGCGGCAACAAAATACCTTGTGATCGGATGAATCCTGTGAAACTAGACCGATCTGAAGAACAGAATAACGTTAAGCCTAAATCTGAGGAGCAAGAAAGAAAAGAGATTGTCGATAATACTGAAATTGACATATCCGATGGTCTGGCTATAGAAATGTTCGGAGCCTCCCCATCAAGTCATGAGGTAAGAAACTCTAGTAATCTCATTGTTTATGCATATTATCTCCAGGACGGTGTCCTTCTCTGCTTTACGCTTATACGTTCATCTCTGTTCTTCTATCCGGTTGTTTAGATAAGTGTGGTTAAGCTTAGGGATTCTGCTTACAAAATCAAACTTTTGTCCAAAGAGTATCAACATACATGCAAATCTACGGGATTGATGCTCTGGGAGTCTGCTCGGCTTATGGCTTCTGTTATTGACAGGAACCAAAACATTGTTTCTGGAAAACGGGTGTTGGAATTGGGTTGTGGCTGCACTGGAATTTGCTCGATGGTAGCTGCCAGATCAGCTAACCTTGTGGTAGCTACCGATGCAGACACAAAGGCACTCACTCTATTAACAGAGAACATCACAATGAATCTCGAATCTTCTTTACATGGAAAACTGAAAACAGGTGTACTTGAATGGGGTAACAAAGAGCATATAGAAGGCATTACAGGTTTGGCTTGTGGAGGATTTGAAGTTATCATTGGGACAGATGTTACCTATGTACCTGAAGCCATTATACCTTTGTTTCAAACCGCAAAAGAGTTGATCTTGCGGGGTAGGGGAGACTCAGAGGTTCAAGAAAAGCCGGCATTGATTCTATGCCATGTTTTCAGAAGGGTTGATGAACCTTCTCTCTTGTCAGCTGCATCTATGTTTGGATTTAAGCTTGCAGACAGATGGGCTGTGAATTCCAGAGAATCTCCTATTGGGAACATCGTTGACCATTGGTTTTCCGAAAAGGATATGGTCGCGGAAATCCCTAGTTCGGCTTTGCATATTCTTTACTTTCAGATGGAGTAACTTAGGGGATGGAGGAGCAAATGTGGATTAGATGGTAACTTTTGTGATTATATTTGAATCCTCAATCAATGAATGTTCTACATGTTTGATTAATCAGTGGATTGGGTTTGGGTATCTTTCTTCCAATCTTGTAAGCATATGGTGTATTTTAGCACTGCATGTTTTTTTCGGTTTTTTCAGGCGATCTAAGTGATCGTAGTCATTTGAACATAAAGAAAATCAACCCAGAAAGAAAAACTTCTTGCGCCCTTTTAATTTTGTGTCTCTTTGTCAACAAATGCATTCATTCAACAAATTACCAGATATAGTTTTTGATATTTTTTTTTTATTATTTGAGTAGACATTTACATAAATGAATCTTTGTTTGTAAAATATTACAGAATATGTTATAAAAATAAATATTTATTTATTAACTACTACATAAATAAACTTTACATTTATAGAAAGCTCATTTAAATATTCTTTCGAAAAAAATAATTAAATATAAAGTTCACATATTTGTTTTGAATATATATAGATATAAATCAAAAGTATATTCAATTTCTTTACTTATTAAAATATTAAAATATATTCCACTATTTTAAATAATAATCAATCCATACATATGAAAAAAATCTATTTAAACTTTTGCAATATTTTTCATTTATACTTTCATAATTAATTAATATCATTTTTGAAAATCAATTCAATTTTTTTTAAAGAAAAAACTGAAATATATTTTTCAAATTTAAATTGTATTTTTCTACGGATTAGCCGATAAAAAATTTTAGTAAATTGCAAAATAAATTAAATAGACGGGTTTGTCTACTTTGACAATCATATATATAATTATTATTAACACATATTTCATAATTCATTAACTAAAAATGATAGTTTGATCTCTAATAAAATATTAACAATTAAATTTTTATTTTATAGATATATATAAATATATATATATATGGATTCTAATCCATGTTGGTATATATATAAGTATATTTAACATTATATCACTTTCACATTTAAAAAATACTAATAATTAAACCGCATAACAAAACTAGCTCAAATTCCTATTCGATGATATATATAAAATAAATATCGGTTGTGTGAATATTTATATATGTATTGCTATCTAATTACCACCAATTTTATTTATTTATATTTTTATTAAAAGTTTTTTGCCACTAATTTTATTTAATCTAAAAAATTAAAATTAAATTTAAAGATAATTTAAAAAATATTACCCTGCATAATGTGCGGTTAATTCCTAGTTTGATTATAAAACAGTTGCTATAAAAGTTATATGTTACAAAATTTAATCATGAAAGACTATATATATAGACTACTTGATACAACATTGACATGGTTTCAATTTGTACAATAAGAATATGAGTTACTTTAATATCGGTATTATAGCAATCTAATAGACTGCATGGTTTCATAATCGAATTTTTTATTATTATTATGATTTTTTTTTTTTTTGAATCCAATTGCACATTATGAATTTAAAACTGGTTAACCCGTTTATTCAACCGGCTTTGCATCGGAATATGACATTTTGCATACTTTGTCGAACCAGTCCGCAACCGCAATGGTAAAATTACCAAACTTAACCCGCTCCACAAAAGGAACAAATAATACAAATATGTGATAAATTTAGTATTTTAAGTTTCTTAAATAGAAATATTTATATCTTTCGTTTTGTTTTAGGTGTTGATTGGTTCATCCGCTATCACCCTTGCGTTTGCGGTTGGTAGCGGTTAGTGGCGTTTTATCACAATCATACAAATCGCTGTAAACCGCTCCGTATCGTTTTATACCGCTGAAATACAAAAACTGCTTCCCGCCAGCGTTTGAGGGTTGCGGACGGTAGCAGTTGGATAAAAAAAAATAAAAATAAATAAATTCACGCTAGAAAAAAAAATATCATGTTAAAAATAATTATAAAACACTAATCTTACTAATCTTCTCTTATATATATAAACCCTAACCTCTCACTTTTTCTATTAAGTTCTAGTCTATTATCATGGCTTTCCATATCAGTTGAAGAAAATTAAGATACAAGCATAAATGCCATAATACTTTAGTTTAATTTATTTATATTAATTGTTTTGTTTCCACTTTTAAATTTAAAGTAAGAAATTATAAATATGTATCTTATTAATTACAAAATTAGTTTGTTATAATTTTTTTTTGTTCTTCAGAAAATTACATGATCAAACGAGATGATATGTGCGTTACTTCAACGGATCATTGTGGAAAAACAAAGTCAAGATAAATATCCTAGATTTTTTAGTGCACTCTAGAAAGAACGTATTTTGAAGAATACTAATGAGCAATTTGGAGTTGATTTGAGTTGGGATCGTGTAAGAAAATCGATTAGATCAATTGAAGAAAGTTTACATCATGCATAAGACAAATCTAGAAAATCCACGTATTGGAGCAAATTTTTTCCAGTCTATTACATTACTAGACACAACTTTGGATGATGTTCCCAATAATTGAAATAAAACATATTATTATAAAATTTCTTAATTTTTAAAATAATTATTTATTATTTATTTATAATTTATTAATTATTTTAAACTATTGATTTTGATATTAATCATAATAATATAGTTTTTCTGTTTTTTTATAATTATTCTGATATTTATTTTGCTAATTTTATGTTTAATCGCTAAAACAATCGTTGGTTTGCTAGTCAAAAATTATTCCGCAAACGGATCCGCCTTAAAAAATTTAACCAGTCGTGCAAACCGCTGAATAACGCTCAAAACCGCAATCGTCCGCTTCCGCAAACTCACGCACTCGCAACCACAACAGCTACGTTTAAAACCAATCAAGCCCTTAAATATGTGGTTCTGTTTAAGAAAACGAATTAACCAGAATATAAGTTTCAAAACTGGACGCCAATTCTTACAATTATTCTTCATTTTGATCAATTTTTTATAATATGTTTCTTAGCCATTACGAAGATTGTGCTGATTTTTAAATTTTCAGCTCCTTCTTTGACTTCCCATTTTCCTTTTTTAATACTCCATTAATAAAAACATTAAGTAAAAGACAAAACTACATATCTAACCTTAAAACCAAATCTACAGATGTCGAAAAAAAAATAAAAAACCAAATCTACAGATTTTTAAATCAATGCTTTGGAGGTTCATACACTTAGGATATGTGTACTATCTCCCTCACCATAAACCCACCACTGGATGTATAAGATGATGTACAAGTGAAGCAGAATCCAGATTACATATCTAGTTGCCAAATTACAACAACAATGTGGCATCATTTGTAATTATACAATTTTCTACAGACCACGGTTTAGTCAAAATCTTGCTTAGTGTTATTAAGGATGTTACCTTATAGTTATATGTATATATGGGTCTAATTGTCATTTGTAATACCCTAGTCTTAGCAGTTGTATCTGTATATATATATATGTGTAAACACTCTCTAATAAAATAATTCATTTAGCCTCTATATGGTATCAGAGCAGTGTCGATTCTTAAACCCTAAAAACAGAATTTTTTTTTCTCTTCGCCGCCATGGCCGCATCTTCTGAAAACACTTCGCCTGCAACCATCACTGATACAATCTCTGTTAACTCACAAACACTCCTACACATAAAAATGTCAAATGTTTCGAAGCTTACCACTACCAACTACCTGATGTGGAGCCTTCAGGTACACGCCTTGCTTTATGACTTAGCCGAACATCTCGATGGATCGAAGGCTGCCCCATCCAACACTGTCACCAATGGTGATGTGATCACCGAGAACCCTGCTTACACCGTGTGGAGACGTCAGGATCGCTTGATCTATAGTACACTCATTGGTGCAATTTCGGCCTCTTTCCAACCTATTGTTGCGCGTGCCTCCACCGCTCAAGAAGTTTGGAGTACCCTCTCCACCACTTATGCAAAGCCGAGTCGAGGACATCAACAACAGTTGAGAACTCAACTCAAACACTGGAAAAAGGAAACGAAGACTGTGGATCTGTATGTTCAAGGTCTGGTTACGCGTTTTGATCAGCTTGCTATCCTTGGAAAGCCAATCGATCATGAAGACCAGATCGATTACATCTTGGATGGCCTTCCCGAGGAGTATAAGTCTGTCATCGATCAGATCCAGGGTCGATATACTTCTCCCTCCATTGCAGAGATTCATGAACGCTTGCTTACACATGAAGCAAAGCTGCTTTCATCCGCTGCAACTCTCTCCTCCGAGATTCCTCTTACTGCGAATACGGTTCAGCACCGATCGGGTAACAACAACCGCCAACAGAACTCCAAGCGTTACACCAACGGCAACAACAACAATTCCAATTGGCAGCCGACACAACAGCAACAAAACTGGCAGCAACAGCAACCGAATAGGTTCGATGGCAGAGGACCTCGTCCATATCTTGGGAGATGCCAGATCTGTGGTGTGCAAGGTCACAACGCTAAACGTTGCTCAAAACTCTAGCATTTCAGCCGTTCGCGTCGTCTCCTTTTCAACCATTGCAACCCCGTGCAAACATGGTTGTGAACGCGCCGTATTACCCAAGTAATTGGTTGCTCGATAGTGGAGCAACACACCACATCACGTCGGATCTCAACAATCTCTCCTTGCATCAGTCTTATAATGGCGGTGATGAGGTCACCATCGCAGATGGGTCTAGTCTCGGCATTACACATACCAGCTCATCTTTTCTGCCCTCTAAATCTCGCGCTTTAACTTTGGATAAAGTTTTGTGTGTTTCAGATATTCACAAAAATTTGATCTCGCTATATCGGTTATGTAATGTTAATCAAGTGTCCGTCGAATTTTTCCCTGCTTCCTTTCAGGTGAAGGATCTCAACACGGGGGTTCCTCTTCTTCAAGGAAAAACTAAAAATGAACTCTATGAATGGCCAGTGACACGATCTCAAGCGTCGGCTCTGTTTGCGTCCTCTTCATCGAAAACAAGTTTGAGTTCATGGCACTTCTGTTTAGGACATCCATCTGCTTCTATTTTAAACAATATTGTTTCAAGATTCTCTCTTCCTGTTTCTTCTTCGTTGCAAAAACCCTATGCTTGCTCAGATTGTTTAATTAATAAAAGCCATAAGCTTCCATTTGCTATTTCCACCATTGTCTCAATAAAGCCTCTTGAGTATGTGTTTTCTGATGTTTGGTCTTCTCCAATTGTGTCAAATGATAACTACAAGTATTACTTGGTGTTAGTAGATCATTTCACATGCTATACATGGTTGTATCCGATCAGACAGAAGTCACAAGTAAAAGATGTCT